GACCTCGACCTCGACCTCGGGTGACGCGTTCGCGACTGGCACGACACAGCTGGTTGCATCGAAACCTTCGAAAGTCGACGGTGGCGTGCCTGGTTGATGTACGAGCGTGTGGAAGCCAGGCCCAATGACCGAGACGGACGCCAATGGGCTCGGCTCGACCTGGTTGCTTCGATCTTGGCGCTCAATCGGAATCGGGTCGAGCCGAAAGAGGCGCAGCGGTGCCCCAACGTCGTAGCGTTGGGTGGACAACGCAGTCGTCAGTTGTGGTTTGACTGGCGGCGGGGACGCAGGTCGGCGCCATCGTGGCGGCGGTGCTGGTGCAACTTGCCGATCGACTTCAATGTCATGCAGTGCAGGCGGCGTGTTGACGCGATGAGGCGCGAGGGTCGGCGTCACCGGCATGCCTCGGCCAATGTAAAATGAGCCGAGGGCATGCGGCTCGCGGTCGTTCGTCAGATGCAATCCCAGCGACGCATCTACCGTTCGTGCATCCGAAGCGCTCGAACGGCGGTCTTCTCGAAAGAGGTTTTGAAGCTCAACGGGCTGCGCGGCGACCATGTCTGTCATTGTGAGGTTCACGCGGCGTGAGTCATCGGTGGCTTTCTGCTGGGACAGTGTGTTGCTGTGCGCCTGCAGCTGCGGCACGTAGTAGTTATGTTCCTGGCGGGGTTGATCCGCCGCACTGAGCTGGCTACGCAGGTTGAGAACGCCCAAAGCACGGTGGCGTAGCAACTGCGTCAATTGAGACGTCAAGAATTTTGTTGTTGTTCAGTACCTGAAGCTGATGGCTGTGGTGGCTCGACTGCTGAGCAACGTCGCGATTGAGGTCCGAATGCACCCACTTGGGCACGATGCCCCGCAGCATCTCGTACCCAATGCTCACAACCGCAGTGTCGGCGGCGGTAGCGATGAGCCCGTACGGAAAGTCGCTATTTATTGCCCAAATCGTATGGCCTACGCAGCGCTTTGAAGTCAAACAAGAGGACTGCACCCTTACCCGTCGCCACTTGCGCAAGATCGACGTGAATTGTGATGGGTGGTGCGTCCTTTGCCTTTACCGTCGACCGCAACGGTGCCCGCGTAGAATCAACGTCCACAACTGCCTGGAGGGTGCAAATGCCTCGTTTTAGGATGAACACGTGGTTCAGTTTGGCGTGTACTGGAAAGATCACTAGGGTGATAACACCTGAGCAATCGAGCGAAAACGAGTCGAGTCGTACCCGTGCCTTTGGTGTAGACGACCTCGGTCATGGCGTGGTACAAGTGGCCAATGCGGTCGAGGTCGAGGCGCGACGCCCAGCCGAGGGTCTGAAAAAAAGACACCTCACGACGCATCGCGGCCAACGTCGCGTCTTCCCAGAGTTCCGTAAACGTTTGCGCTGTAAACGAAATGAGCTGTGTCGTATCGTGTGCCATGGCCGAGAGGTTTCTAGCACATATTGTCTGCAGTTAAGACGACAACATGTTGCATACCGCGTCATTTGATTGGTGAGAATTTCAAATTCGCCAAACCCATGGCCCGGCCGAACGCGCTTGAGCGTGACGTGTTCGAGGGACGGAAGCGACGAAAACAAACTGACTTTGCCCGACACGACAACGTAGTAGCGCTTGGGTGCGTCACCGTGGGTGTAAACTAAGTGACATGCAATGCACAGCACAAGACAATATCAAGCACGTACTCCAATGACCCTTCTCAAACGTATCGTACTTGGCCGAGGCCACGATGTTGGACATGGTTTCGTCCGACATGCTCTGGAAAATGGTCATATTGGCGAGATGCTTGATGATGAGCTTGACACGCTGGCTCACGGCTTCCTCGACGAGATTCCAAAACCGGGGCTTCTTGGCAGCGTCGTGGCCTGTGATGCCCTCGGTGACCTTGAGGTTTGCGCGCACCCAGTGGGCTTTTGCCATGCTACGAGACGTGCCTCAACCGACGTATTGCCTCGCGATGCACTTACATGTGCTTGGGCTGCACCACGGACGGTACCAGACGCGCTGCCAAAGTGCACGCCGACGTGTACGCGGCTTTGGTAATCCGCAGGGCTCGAAGCGGCGTCTCAGCCACGACATTGTACAAGCTGCACCACATCAGACGACGAACGATTTAGTTGAACGAACTGACCTCGTCGCGGGCGCCGCAAAGACGATTTCGCCGCCGTACACATCGCCCGCCTTGAACGTCCAGCAGATGTGCAGAGACGTTGCGGACGACAGGGACGACGCGCTCGCTCGACGGTTCGAGCCATCGGTCGCGTGCACTCCTTTCTCCGATAGTGGTGCCGTCATTACTACGGGCTCTTCGGGCACGATCGCATTCATGCGCAGGCGAGGTATGCGTTTCGAGAGCTTCATGATCGTCGGCAGCACCGACTTGGAGCGTTTTTCGTGACGTGGCGTCATGAGCGTCTTGCTTGTCGTTTTAAAGTTGCTCGTAATGTCTCGCATCGGGGCAACCGCAACGCTGGCGAGGGCTGTCGCCAGCGGCACGTCCATCGGAGACAAGATGTGCTTGGTGTGCATCTTGGAGGCGGTCGCGATGCCGTCGAGAAAGATGTACATCGCATTGAGACGATCTCCGATGCGGACAATCTTGTCCCCTGGTGCAAAGGCAACAACGTCGTGCGCTACCGCCGTGGGCGGCGGGAACCACAACGACGAGCACAGTGACGCCGTGTCGGACACATCGTCCGCAACGCTGGCTACCGCCGCTCGCAAGTGCCAGCACGCCTTTGTTGGCTCGCCCAGGCGCTGGAGAACACCCGTGACGTCCTGTGCTCGAAGGACGAAAAGCGTACTGGCCGAGTGCGCCAGAATCGTCATCGGAACGATGTAGTCGCCGTTACCATCGACCGCGCCGTGCGTCTGCAACACGTCGCCGCGCCGGAATGTGTGAATGCGTCGCCCGTACACAGCACCGATCGGGTGGTCGGTCTCCGCCGCTGGCATTGGCTCGAGTTGCGACGACGAGCGACACAGAGGGTGTCCCTCGAGTGCGTCCGAACATGCATCGACATGATCTCGACTGTACGCACCGAGCTGCCCTCGCAAGACGATGACAAAAATGGACTCGACCTCATCTCTCTCTTCGGCGCAAATGATGTCGCCTTCGGCCACGTGCTGCAGCACCAAGTATGGTACCAATTCAAGGCGCACGTAGAGGGGTACGTGCGTGAGAAGACCGAGATTGTGTAGCAGCCGCGCCACGTTCTCCACGTCCTCCCGCGCGGCAAATCGACCAAGAGGACACTTTGCCAGAAGCGACGAGGCACAAAGCGGCAGCCGTGATGAGAGGCCATCAAGCCACAACGCGCATGCGCTGCGTGGAATCTTGAGCAGCACCGAGGACTCAGTGGTCGAGGCGATCTCCAAGCGGCGGTGGTGGCCTAGCGGTGCGTCGTGTCCAAAAAAATCACCGGGCAGTACCATTTGTGGTGGCCTCTCTGCGTGGTCGTGCAGGGATACGGCACCCGACACGAGAAAGAATGTGGCATCGACCTCACTTGCTTGGTTGTACACGTGCTTTTGCGCGGGGAAGGAGAGAACTGTCACGACTTCGACAAGCCGGTCCACGATCGCATCGGGAAGCTGCTGCAGCCCCGCTTGCGATATGCACCACCGGTGCAACGCAGCCAGATCCAACGGTCTGCGCTCCATCGGTGGAATGGACGCTACTTCGAGCACCGGTCGGTCACTGCAATCCGTGTGCAGGACGAGGGCAAACTCGGCCCTGTCAATGAGCACGACGTCGGAGGATTCCATGGCTCGCAGCATGCTCACGAATGGCCGCTGCAGGAGCCAGTGGTGCAACGGGTCGTCGACGCGCTTGTTGGTGTCGTTCCAGAGGTGCCGATCGCCATACACTTGACCCGACGGAATCGTGCCCACGAGGCGGTAGCTGGCCAACGCGCTCACCTTGCGCTGCGTGCCGCTCGTGGTATCGTCTACAACAACCATGTTAGGTAACACAACGTGGTGAGAACCAACCTGCTGTATTATCAGCCACTTCGATGCAGTAGAGCCCCAGCTGCCCCGAGAGCACGACGATAATGTCGTGCCAGTCACCATCGAGCGCGACAACTACAACAAGCGTACCGTGAGCACTGTGTCACTCGCTAAGATTGTACGGGGCTCGTTGGGTGCAAACGTCTTAAGCTGGCAATGGTCAACGAGACGATCCTATATCGTTCCACGTCACTAGTGTATTGAAGCATAGAACCCACTTGGCTCGCAACACTCAGCTGAGAAAAGAGGGTGTACTGGGAGAGGTACGACCGCAGCTTGGCTCGGCCTGTCGAGTGAATATCCACGAGCGTCGTCTATGTGCCACTCGGGTCGAGTTAAAACGTGAAGTGACTGACGCACCGACTTTGCGTACAACATAATCGGCTTGGGGTTCGTATACACAATGGCGCGCTCGATTGTGTCCTACATGTACAGACAGACATTCGCCCTCTCGGCAGTGCTCGTACCTTGCGCACTGCAAGCACGAGACAGCTCTCTTGGGCTAGCTACCATTGGAATCCACTAAGCATATCACATAACGTAACATCGGTGACGGCGTACGAGGCTGTATTTTCGGTGCGTCACGGTCTGCTTGGACGTGACCTCTGTCAGCCCATACTCTCCTAGATATATGGGATTGTGCATGGTCCTTGGTTACAGCGCTGGTTCACCTCCTACACCAAAACATGAGTGCTAGTTCTTGCAAAAGGCACAGTACCAGCATAGTGAATCCCAACGCAGTCGCCAAAGTCCATGCGTTCGTGCGACTCGGCGTAGAGTCGAGCGAGCCATGCCGGAAACGTCTCTTGACGGTTTGTGCGCTGGGCAAACTCTGTGTTTTTGTACGCGCAAAGCGAGCCTTCGAGCTAGAGACACACCATACGTATCCCGATTCAACAAGAAATGCACGCACCACATAGTACAGCTGCGACTCGGGCGTGACAAGGTCGTCCTAAAGTGCCGTGTTGACGTCGCGACTTTGTAAAGAGAGCATCGTGCCTGGTAGTGGAGGACGTCGCTATCGTTGAGCATCTACACCATCTATGAAGATCCGTTTTCTCTGTCGCAAGTCAAGTACGAGGAGGGTGCACTCGTTGGCGACGTCTATGCCCACAAGGACATCAGTATGAAAAACTAGCTGATCGCGGCCGCGCACTGGGCGCTACGTACAAAGCAGTGCTTGGGACGACAGAGTAGCCATAATGTCTCTGAGCAAATGTGCAATCACTCGAACATCGCTGTCAAGACGGTCATGCATCCTACAGATTCGCCGTTTGTTTCATCCTCCAAAGCTCTCGGGGTGGACGTACGGGACTTGGAGCGCCCACGTGACAGCTTTGCTCTGGAGTTTGTCCATCTGGACCGCATTCGCATTGGGCTTTACAGGGCTTGACGGCAGCTTTGCGCTTCCGGCGTGCAGACGCATCGTCGTGCTTCGCTCCAAAGCCGGCGCGACCATTCTCGTCGGCGCAATTTCAGCCCGTTTCGCACCGTTTTATGCTTAAAAAGGCGCCACGAAATCAAACAGCAAGTCAAGACGAGAGATCTTTCCCGGTAAAGAGCATCTCGACGATGCTACATGGCCGAGTATATTGGATGAGCTTCGATTCGGTAGAGGTGGTCAATGGCACTGAAATACAACATCCCTCCCCTGCGTACTGCCATTACATCTTGGACGAACTATTTCGTCTACCTCAGCTTACTATGCTGGAGCTATTTTGGCGTGGCTTGGCTCACCACAACCATCGTGCTGCCGCCACCCTCGCATTCAGAGCATTGCCATTCTCGCACCATCCGTGTGACACGCCGCGTCCGACGTCATCGGACGTCGCACACCTGGCGTCTTGTGTCTGGTTCTGTGTACAGTATTGTCCCGGAAGCGTCGTCCGGCCGGATACTGCGTCCGAATACGTCTCTTCGAATTCGAGCCAAATATAATCGCTTGCATTCAAAGATCACTCTCCAATCTCAACCACAGCTTCAACAACAACGACCAGAATGACCAGCAAGCGTGCAGGTGCCATCTTTGTCAACCACGGCGCGGGGCCGTTGCCACTGCTCCGGCCTGTCTCGGACCCGGACCACGGATCGACGCGCCGCTTCATGGAGGTCGACACGCCAAAGCTCCTGGGGCTCGAGGATGCGGCGACGCGGCCCCGCGCCATCGTCGTCGTCTCGGCGCACTGGCAAGACGACCGCATCCAGATCTCGTCTGGCGCGTCCCACGACCTTCTCTACGACTACTACAAGTACGCTTTGGTTGATTTCCGGTCGCGTGGTGACTCACTATGATTTGCGTGTAGCTTCCCGGACGAAGCGTACAAGGTCACGTACAAGGCCCCGGGGTCGCCTGAGATTGCGCAAAAGATCCACGCACTCCTAGCGCAGGCCAGTATTCCATCCAACTTGGACCCGACGCGAGGCTGGGACCACGGCACGTTTGTGCCGATGAAGCTCATTCGCCCGCAACAAGACATCCCGATCGTCCAAGTGAGCGTCGTCGCGGGCTGGGACCCCGTGTTGCACTTCAAGATCGGCCAAGTGCTCTCGGTGCTTCGGAACGAGAACATTGCGATCATCGGCTCGGGCATGTCGTTCCACCCCAACTGGGGTACGCCCGTGACGCCCGAGACGGAAGACCATGCGCGCGCCTTCATCCGCGAACTCACGTCTGCGGTGCTGCAGCCATCGATTGTAGCTCGCGGCGACGCATTGGCCAAGTGGGACGCGCTGCCCTTTGCGCGCGAGTGCCACCAGAAAGACGAGCACCTGATTCCGGTACGGCACTTGCATCTTGGTTGTCGTTAGTGATTTTGGGGACTGATACGACGGCGCTTCTAGCTTATGGTCGTCGCGGGCGCGGGCGGTGAAGGGTCGGCACAGGCGTTTGACGTGCACAAGGGCATGTACGAGGCGTTTGCGTGGACCTCGTAAAATAGCGATCGGCAACGACTTGATTACATCATTTGCATTTAATGAGATGACGCTGCGCTGGTGATATTCCGATACGAGAAATTCGATCTGTGAAGGCTGTCTCGAGTTAAAAGGTTTTAACTGGAGAAAAATACTGTCTGTGGAATTTGCTGTTTATTGGAAGGAACACCCATTAGATAATCAAGAGTACTTGTACTTCAACTTGCTCCATACTACCTTGTGTCTTGGGCTCGAGTGTCGCTCATATTATGAGCAGCGGTACACAGTTAGTGCTTGTTGACCACAATGGCTTGTGTGGAGGCAATACACAAGAACCAGTGTCCGACCTGGCAGCCGTCTCTGTGCAGCAGCTGTTTAGCCACGTGGTACCGCTAACTGTGGTACATGTGATGACCTTTTGCGTACATTATTCGGCCGGAAGTGAGTTCCCCGGATACAACTTCCGAGAGACATGCGCAGCGGACTTCGACGGACCAGTACCATCTGTTGCATGTGCTGGCCCATTACCGTCACGCTCACTTTTCAACGTTTCCCGAGATGACAACTCCCCCAACTGCACTCTCCTCGCGAGCTGCGGCCGTCTTCGCCAACCACGGTGCCGGTCCGTTGCCCGTGCTTTGCCCGGCAAAGGACCGTACGCAAGGCCCGACACGTCGCTTCCTCGAAACGACGGTTCCAAGCCTCCTTGGATTGAAGGATACAGCGACGCGCCCGAGGGCTATCGTCTTGGTGACGGCGCATTGGGAAGAGTCGTGTGTCACCATCTCATCGGGAGCGTCCCCTGCTCTTCTGTATGACTACTACGGGTACGCCACACTCGCAAGTCCACACGGAACTTACCTTGTGCACGTAGATTTCCCCGCCAAGCCTACGAAATCTCGTACAAGGCGCCAGGGTCGCCAGCGATTGCCCAAAAGATCCACCAGCTCCTCTCCGAAGCCAACATTGAGTCGCGCCTCGACCCGACGCGGGGCTGGGACCATGGCACGTTTGTGCCTATGAAGCTCATTCATCCGGACGAAGACATTCCGATTATCCAAGTGAGCGTCGTTGCCGGCTTGGATCCAGTCCACCACTTCAAGATTGGTCAAGTGCTCTCGGTGCTTCGCAATAAAAACATTGCGATCGTCGGGTCCGGCGCGACCTTCCACCCGAGCCGCAGCGTGGTCGATAGCAAGCGCCGCGCGCGTAAGTTCAATGCGGCGCTGACTGAAGCCGCCCTCGAAACGTCCGTGGCGGGCCGACGTGAGGCTCTAAAGCGCTGGGCAACACTGCCGCACGCACGCGACTGCCATCAACGCGAAGAGCACTTAATCCCGGTACGATTTACCACTTCTTTCGAGTGATTGGAAACTCACAAATTTACGGTTCGTAGCTCATGGTAGTCGCGGGCGCCGGCGGAGTTGACAAAGGCAACGCGTTTGACGTGGATGACGGCGTCTACACTTCGTTTGCGTGGCGTGGATAGAGTCGTCATGACTTCCTAGATCTACTAGTACTCGTCATTCAGTTTAAACTCAATTTGCACAACACCACTCCAACTGCTATGCCAACCAACTCGAGCGCGTTATGTGAAAATGCACGGTGAGCGCAAGATTCGTGCTGGTCACCAAGCTTACAAAGAGTTACATTTTGGTAAGTTCTACGCAGTCTGCATCCGAACGACGTCCGACTCGGCCGACGGTGACGGGTCTGTACTTCGCTTTGCACGGCGGTTGACTTCGTCTTGGAACTGCCGCGCCGCGCGGTTGCGACGCATGCGCACCAGGAGGGCAGCCCCGGACCCGAGCACAGCCAAGCCGCACATGGCGCCCATGAGAACGACCGACGGCCCGTACGTCGTCGCTTCGAGGTCGTACTTTGTGCAGCGGGGGCCAGTCCAGTGGTCGGCGCACTTGCACCGACGCTTCTCACAGGAACCTGTGACGCTCGCGACCGTCGTGCAGTCGTCGTTCGAGTTACAAGATGCGCCGCCCGCGACAATGATATCTGGGTTCTTTGGGTCCGTGTAGTTGGAGATGTGAGCTTTGATAAACTCCTTGGTTGGGTGCGATGCAGGGTCACAGCCATAGCTCATCGTCTTGGTGTCTTGCCTGCGAT